TAAAAAGGGGGGTCGTTAAAGGGAAAAGCAAAGCCTACAGCCTCCGCTGTGGCTCCCGTCCGCTCCGCTCTGAGTTCCTTGGAGATCGTAGAGGGCATGCGCCAGATGATTAAATGATCCAGGGTTTCCGCAGATCATTAAAAATAATTACAATTCTTAAATTTTTTTGGATTTTTTCATTAATTTTTATGGGATTTCTGGGTATACCGAACCGAAAACTGTGACCTCGAAACCGTGAACCGAACCGAAAGGTGGATTTTGTGAACCGTTCCACCCCTAATAAATATGTATATATTTTTTTTATGCTTCGCCCCCAGGTGTTTGCTCTGCCGCAGGTCCGGGCGTCGATGACTTGCGGAGGCTGTGCATTGTGAGACTGAGCTTCGTCAAAGGTTGGGGGTGTGACTACCCCAGACAGAGCATCAAGGACACCCCCTGCTGGATGGAGGTCCACCTGCACCGGGCCCTCCAGCTGCTGGACCAGGTGTTGCACACACTGCCGCCACGGGAGCTCCCTCTCTGACAGACTACCGATGCTGCTGATGACGGGCTGCAGCATCCATCATCCTACGATTAGCCCAGGCTGTGCCTCGTTCCCCTCTGCGCGGGCACCACAGCAGCTCATTGTTTCGCAGAGAGTCTTTCAGCTAGCCCCAGGGTTTCTATTGTAACAGCATTCATGGGTCAGTTCAAACAGAAATCTGGGATCAGGTGGAATTTACAGTCAAAATCAGGAAGAAGCTCAGTGCTTTGTGTGAATTGACTCCTTAAATGCTGAGTTCATATCAGCTGAAACCAAAAAAAAACAGAAGTTAATCTATGCTCATCAGGTTTGAGTTTGTATTTATTTTTATTGATTATCTACCAAAGATTCATTTCGAAATGATGACATCATATCCTACTCATGATGACTTTTTTATTTTTGACAGTGTTTTATCACATTTTAAACATTTTTTTTCTATATAGAGCATCTATAACACTGTACTATCTGCTGTCTGTTCGTGTCAAACATTTCAAATCCAAAATAAACCAAGTTTGTCCTGCATTAGGTGTCCTGTTTAAAAGTGATGCTAGATTGGGACACAGAGACATCGGCTGTGTTCTATGGGTGTATTTACTAAGTAATGATGATTGGATTTTAATGAAGTCTGGTTACCAAGGAATAATCAATGGATCACTATCTATACCTAAAACACATATGTTTTTGGTGATTTAATGAATTTAGTGTTAATCAGTAAAAATAAAAAAAATTAAATGCCCAAACATAGTAACCCCTCCCTCCTGCCATCTTCCAGCAGTGACGTCACGGTGCGGTAAGCCTAGCGCCATTCTCCCCGCTTTCCAAGCTAAATCAATGGGAACTACTAGACACATCTGCAATCAACAACAATTATTGAAGATGTGTCTAGTAGTT